TAATCTGTGGCGTCTGAGGTTTGCAATCGAGGCGCTACTGCGACGGAGGCGTTGCAGCGGGCACCTACTCAGGGCTCTCTTGGGACACATCACCTGGGCGGGCCTGATCAGACGTGAAGTTTACAGTATTTTGCAGTGCAGCTATGCGTATGTCACCAAAAACGGCCCTGGGGTCGCGGAGCTCTGGCCTGCGGTACGCCGGGAACTTTGGACCATCAGGTGTCTTCTGCCACTCCTGTGTGTGCGCTGGACGGCGGCCTGGCATCCCACTGTGCTCGCCACGGACGCCTCACCGTTCGGGCTGGGCGTGTGTACACGGCGGGCTGACCCAGCCGAGATTGGTGCCATTGGCCGAGTATCCGAAAAATGGCGCTTCAAGGTTGAGCAGTGCATCGACGCTAGGAATCACGCCCTCTCCGACTCCAGCTTCGCCCCTGACCGACACCCTGCTCCTACTGTACTGGGACCCGAAGGGGGAGGTATGAAGTGTGACAGGGAGGTTGGGTCTACGCTCAGTTCTTCTGGGATTGGGACTGGGGCTGTGGCTTGTGACGTGGTTGGGGGACCTGTGTTCAGTTCTTCTGGGATGGGATCCACGACACCTCTGGAGGCTGGTTCTGGGAGCGGTTTCAGTTCTAGCCGGGCCGATACAACAAGGGTGACTAGCATTGAGGACCTAGCTGTAAGTTTCGACGAGATTAGCAAAGATTTTATGGACGACAAACATTGGAATACTGTTATAGCTACCAGAGTAAGGCATAGGTCTAACATTCTCGAGCTCGAGGGCGACGCCTTGGTCCTGGGATACCGACATATCCTCCGATCTGGGGTTGCCCGAGGTTCACGGGTTCTGGCGTTGGTCGACAACCTACCGCTCTGCCTTGGGGCGGTCAAAGGCCGCGCTCGGTCCTCCTATCTCCTCCGACCTCTCCGACGTGTCGCTGCCCTTTCACTCGCAACGGGGAGTCGCCTCTACGTTCGGTGGGTCCCGTCCGAGAGGAATCCGGCTGACAAGGGGTCCCGCGGGCAGTGTGGCTTCTTCGCAGGTCCCTCCTGGCTCGAGGTCCAACAACAGGCTCCGACCCCTGCACCACCGCCTCCACACCAGCCTCCGCGTGCACCTGCCGAAGCCAGATACCACGAGGGCCCCCCACAGGCACACCCCTGCCACACCGACATAGGTGGCGGGAACGTGCCTGTAGGGCGGGGGCCCGGTGATGGGCAAGTCCGTGGCCCGCGGCACGCGCCAGCAGCAGCTCAGCAAGAAGGCCGGGAAGCTCAAGAAGGAACGAGCATCCCGGGCTCGGGAGGCGGCCTCGAAGGTGGACGCCAGCGACCGCTTCCCTTGGATGAGTGTGCTGGAGAAGATTGCCGTGAAGCCGGGGACCGTGCTGTTGTGCCAGCGGACCCTCCGCCTCTTCCTCGACTTCTGTCGTGTGGCGAAGGTGAGCTGGGTGGACGCGCCCGGGCTGGACGACGTGGTGGTGGAGTATCTGAACTCCATGTACATGGAGGGCCACGGGGCCGACGAGGCGAGCCGGCTCTTGGTAGCGCTGGGCTATGTCTTCCCCGAGTTGTACAAGAAGACGCGGGCCCTGCTGCCGAGGGCGACCCGGTGCGCAGTCAGCTGGTGTCGGCGGACGCCCGCGCAGTCCCGGCTCCCCCTGCCGCGCCTGGCGGCGTTGGCGATCGCGGGAGGCATGATCATGCTCGGGCTCCCGCGGATGGCGATCATGGTTGCGGTATCGCACGTCTGCTACCCACGGCCTATCGAGGCGATGGCGCTCCTCGGCAAGAGCATCGTCGCCGCGGTCCCAGTGGCAGGTGCTGGCTACACCATGATGGGCTTAGTGCTGCACGAGACCTCCCTCGGCATCCCCGGCAAGACGGGGGCCTTCGACGACGCTGTGACGATCGACGAGCAGTGGTTGTGGGAGCCCCTTCTCGGCCTGAAGCAGGCCAGCCTGCCAGACGGGAGCCTGTGGGGGTTCAGCAGCGAGCTCTACAGGGACGTGTTCATCGCAGTGGCCGAGGGTCTGGGGCTAGGACCCTTCGACCCACATCCGTATCAGTTACGACACGGAGGGGCGTCGGAGGACTTGGCGGCCAGAAAGCGAACGCCAGAACAAGTCATGCGCCGGGGTCGCTGGACGACAGTCGCCTCTTTGAAGAGGTACGGGAAAGAGACCAAGCTGTTGCGCGTGATCAACCAAATCTGTCCGTCCGTCTTCAACTTCGGCAGCACGGTGCACCAGAGCTTCGCCGAGGCCATCAAGTTCGGGGTCGGCAATCGGCCCTCCCAGCTGCGAGTGCCTGCAGCCCTCGAATCCAGTGTCAAGCAAGCAGTGAGCAGACTTCCAGCACGGCTAGTATCTCAGATTCCTGCAGTGGCCCCAAGATAAGCCACTCCCAACAAGTGAAGCGGTACCTTCAGCACCTCCTGACTCGGGCGCTGAGGAAAGCCACCACCAACCGGAGGGTTATCTTCTTGGAGCTTTTCGCGGGCAACGGGGGTATCGGCAAGTTTTTGAAGTCCCAGGGGTTCGCCGTTCTTAGCCTGGATGTCAAAAACCACGCTTTCCAGGACCATCTGTGCCCGGCCTTCCAGGCCGTCATCAAAGGTTGGATCCGCGGGAACGTCATCGTTGGCATCTGGTTAGGGACCCCATGTACTACCTGGTCTATTGCTAGACGGCCTGCTATTCGGGACTCGGAACACATTCTCGGACTTCCTGGGCTCAGTGCTGCTAATCAGGCTAAGCTAAATATTGGTAACGACACCTTCCTATTCTCTACCCAGATCATACGCCTTGCAAATCGTCATAATACACCGATAGCTTTGGAAAACCCAAGTACATCTATGATGTGGCGTGCACCACACCTGCGTAGACTACTATGCGACGAATCTTGTGTGGTCCACGTTTGTGACATGTGCCAGTTCAGTGCTAGGTGGAAAAAGCGCACACGGATTGCGCTGTGGAATGCCGGCAGATGTACAGCTATCGAGCGCCTTTGCTGTCCTCGTGGGAATATATGCTCAAGGTCCCACAAGCCGCACATCGAACTGACAGGGAAGACGCCAGAAGGTATACATTGGACTGCTATCGCTGCCGCCTACCCTACACAATTTTGCAATACGATGGGACGATACCTTATGGAGGTGATAAACAACAACAAACAGATCAGAATGAATGAAATATATGGTGTGCGGCCTACGGCCAGTTGACCAGTCGGGTTCGGGTACTGGAGGCTCGGCACCCTTAGCTCCGCCTCTGCCTCGCAAGAGCCCGGCTGCCTCACCTCCTCCTGAGAAAAAGCTGCCCCCTGGCCCCGTGTAAGAGGATCGGTCACTGTCTGAATTAAATACAGTAAGTGGGAGAGGGGTGAGCGGGGCCGCATGACATTGCGGCTCAAGCTCCCGCCCTGCTGCGGACCCACCCCGCTTTCGCCTTCTCTTCTTTTTTCTCTGCCCTCAGGGGTACTGGAGGCTCGGCACCCTTAGCTCCGCCTCTGCCTCGCAAGAGCCCGGCTGCCTCACCTCCTCCTGAGAAAAAGCTGCCCCCTGGCCCCGTGTAAGAGGATCGGTCACTGTATATAAGCGCGATTCCTGCCGAACGTTCCCCCTCACGTGGGCTGGCCTCCCGAATGTCTGCCCGCGCGCGGGTCGCGCCATTGTTGGCCGTTAGCGCCGCCGCGCTCCGAGACAGAGACTGCCGCGTCGTTGAAAAGCGGATTCTGTCGGAGGCTTTAGGGAGGTTTGGGAAGCCGCGAGATGCCCTCGGAGGCCTCGGGGAGGCCCCTTGGGAGGCCTTCGAAGGCCCTCGGCTCGAAGGCTGCGACGACCGACAGCGAAGTCAGCGCCGTCGCCGTCGTCGTCGTCGTCGTCGACGTGTCGAGGATCCTGGCTCGCGGTTTTTGATCGTTATCTTACCTTTTTAGGCCTCCTGGGCGCCCTCGTAGCCACTGCTGTTTTCCTGTGAAGGCACCTCCAGAGAGGACGATGGGTCGATTCTTGATCGGAGGTCGCTGTCGATATCAAGGCTCGGAGATCGGGGTTTTATGACTCCTGTACGTGTTTGGGGTCTCCTCGACCCCTCTGGAGGCTTCGGTGTCGTTGGACCTGCTTGAATGGGTGCTTTTTGTGACTGGACGCTCCAAGGTCGGACGAGGTCCCAGACCTGCCACACCGTGACCTGTTCGCGTCGTCGGCGCCCTTTCACTCCTCCTCCTCCTCCTCCTCCTCCTCCTTTTCCTTACCACCTCCTCCTATCCCCCCTCCTGCCCCCTCGTTGCCCTGCCATCCCTTTTCAACATGTTGCGTTACCCTGACGTGAATCAAGAGATCGCCGCGCCTGACCTCCGCCATCAGCTCCTCCTTATCATCCTTTTTGTTCCTCCGCCTCTCACTCCTCCTCCTCCTCCTCCTCCTCCTCCTCCTCCTCCTCCTCCTCCTCCTCCTCCTGTCATGCGGTTGAGCGGACATGAGTTGTACATGTCATCCTCATTCACATCCATCTTTTCCTCCTTCGCCGCCGCCGCGTCCTTCTACGCTTCCTCTCCCATCTGGAGAGGGAGAGGAGGAGAGGATGAGGAGGAGGAGCAGGAGGAGCAGGAGGAGGTGGGGGGAGATGACGGGGAGGAGGAGGAGGAGGAGGAGGAGGAGGAGGACGAGGACGAGGAGGAGGAGGAGGAGGAGGAGGAGGAGGAGGAGGAGGAGGAGGAGGAGGAGGAGGAGGAGGGGAAAGAGGAGGAGGAGGAGGAGGAGAAGGAGGAGGAGGAGGAGGAGGCGGAGGAGGAGGAGGAGGAGGAGGGGGAGGAGGAGGAGGAGGAGGAGGAGTATGAGGAGGAGGAGGGGGAGGAGGACGAGGGGGGGAGAGGTTGGCGACCTCTCCCCCCCTCGTCTCCCACCCTCTTCCCGGCGCAACCCCCCGAGGGACCCCGCCTCTCTCGCCCACTCCCGGTGACCGGCGCTCCCCGTGGCGGTGCGTGCGCGCGCCGAGGTCAGACAGCGGTGCCTGAAGGTGAAGTCGCGGGGGGGGGGGGGGCAGCCGCCAGGGAGGGGGCCCAAGGCCCAGGCCCCCTCGGGTCAAACAGAAATCATGGCGGACGGCTCTTGCTGGTTTTCGGCCTCCTGGGGCCCTTGCCGGGCCCCAGGGCCGTCCAGGCACGACTCAGCATGGAACTCCTGTCCCGGGGACTGGGTCGAGACCTCTGGGGGTCGCAGTTATTCAATCAAAAATCATGACGTCGGGGGTCTTGGGTGGGGCGCCGGAGTGGTGTAGGAGGAAGCGGTAACGTGAGCTGCGGAGGCGGCGGCGGCAGCAGCAGCAGGAGGAGGAGGAGGAGGAGGAGGAGGAGGAGGAGGAGAGGAGATGAGACGACAGCAGCAGAAGTAATCAGGATTGCAGGAGGAGCTGGCATCGGTGGAGGAGCCAGAGCCGGGGCAGGAAGAGCAGGAGGATTGGCAGGAGTGCCCAATGAGGAGCGTCAGGACCAGCATGAGCAGCAGTGAGGGCAGGATGAGCAGCAGGATCTTGATTCGGAGGAGGCGCGTAAGCAGCAGGAGGACAGGGTTCGCTTTCGCTGCGGTGGCCCCCCGGTCGTAGTGCAGCGCTCGCGATTGGCCAGAGCAGGAGGGCGCGGAGACAGGTCGGAGGAGGAGCAACAGCTGGTGGGAGGCGGGGCTGCGGGAGTGGGGGTTGGTGGGTGTAGGTGGGGGAGGTAGGAGGAGCAGCACCTGCTCGGTAGGTCTCTTTGTCGAGGTGAGGCGGAGGCCTGCGTCCCAGTCGCAGGCGCCCCATTGCGGCGCTGAACGACGTCGATGTTGGACAAGACCAGAACCGCCGCCCACGCGCGAGGAGGAGCAGCACCTGGAGCAACAGCAGTGCCCAATGAGGACCTCGGTGGATCCCCTCGGGCTCCGCCTTCTGGACGTCCTTGCCGCGCCGATGCGCCCTCATAACACTCGTGCGGCTGCTTGAGCTCGTCGCTCGCAGGCGCACCCCACAACCCCGTGAGCGCCACGACCTCGTCCTGGAGGGCGAGGAGGAAGAGGAACCCGAGGAGGAGGAGGAAGAGGATGAGGTGGAGGAGGAGGAGGAAGAGGAGGGAGAGGAGAGAGGAGGGTCACCGTAGACGCTGCGTTAGTCCGATCAGAGGAGGTGGAAGAGGAGGAGGTGGAAGAGGAGGAAGAGGAGGGAGAGGAGAGAGAGGAGGGTCATCCGATCAGGGTCCGCGCAGAGTTAGAAAGGGAGAGGAGACAGGATGGCAATGAGGAGGGAGAGGAGGCTGGAGGAAGGAGGGAGGGAGGAAAATTGTGGGGAGGAGGAGGAGGATGAGGAGGAGGAGGACGAGGAGGAGGAGGAGGAGGAGGAGGAGGAGAAAGAGAAAGAGGAGGAGGAACAGGAGGAGGAACAGGAGGAGGAGGAGGAGAAAAGGAGGAAGAGGAGGAGGATGAGGAGGAGGAGGATGGGGAGGAGGAAGGGGTGATCAGAGAAGAGGTAGCAGAAGTGGGGGCTGAGGACCGGGTGCAGGACGGGTCCGAGGGGGCGGCCATGAGGGAAGAAAGATGCGACGATGAGGAAGCGGTACTGGATGCAGTGCTGATGAAAGGAAGGACAAGGGTGGAAATAAGGAACATTTGCGGAAAGAGAAAAGGGAGGGGGGAGGACGGATTCGTGGGGGGAAACGGAAGAGCAACGGAGGGACCAGGAGAGGAAGGCGGGACCGGGAGGTGGGAGCAGCGCAGGGTTAGGACGAACGGCATGGCGGCGTCGGCAGCTCCCTTCTGACTCCCTCCCCCTGTACCTTTCAGCCCGCCCCCCCCGCACCCCCCCCCCTCTCCCCCGCCCCCGACGAAGGACAGCCTCGGCGGCGGCGGCGGCGAAGAATACTAAGAACACCTCGACGGCGACGCGGAGACGACGGCGGGTGCGACGACGGCGGCGGTGACACCGACGATGGCGACGACGTCGAGGACGAAACCGACGTCGGCCGCGGCGAGTGCGGCGACGGCGGGGCGGCGGAAGCGGGGAGGTCCGAGAACGAGGGCTGCGAGCTGAACTGCCACGAGGAGCCGGGCGAGGCCCGCGCTCTCCCGGGCGGTGGCGGCGCGTTTCTGGCCGCCGCCGTCGTCATCGTCATCGACGTCGCCGTGGTCAGTGCCGCCGCCGTCGTGAAAGGAGGGGGAAGCCGCCGCCGCCAGAGTGCGAGCGGGAGGGAGAGGGGGGGGGATGGATGGATGGATGGATAGATGGAGGGGAGGCGCAGGATCGATGGATGGATGGATGGATGGGAGGACCGCGGCAGGAGGGACGAGAACGCGAGTGTTCACTCAAGGGGCAGGAAGGGGAAGAGGAGGGGAAGGAGGACGACGACTGCGACGAGGAGGAGGGAGGAGAGGGATGGGCATGAGGAGGGGCAGGAGCAGGAGCGGAGGAGGAGGAAGACCAGGAGCATGGGTCAAGCAGTGGCGAGGCGTCCTGGCTCGCCTATAGCCCTACCAAACAATGTTCTGAGAACCTTGCGGGGTGTCCACGACTTGCTCTCAGAACATTTCTGGCGGGGTCAGTCTTGCTTTATCACATCGGGCTTATGTTCTAAGAACACTGTGCCTGTTCTTACAACACTGTTGGGGTTCCAAGAGCAGTTCCTGGTAGGACTACAGGAATGCCGGGACGGTCGGCCCCTGCTCACACGGGAGGAGGGCGGGCACGACGGGGGGGAGGGCGAGGCGGCGCGCAGGGCGAGGAGGGGCCGCCGCTGCGCCGCGCGCGCGCGCACGCCGCAGGCCGACGAGCGCTCGGAGCCCAGGGAGGGCGGCTTCGGCACCAGGCCCCCCCGCCGCCCTCCGCTCGCCGATGCTCGCGTCCTCCGCTTCTCGTCGTCGCCCGCGCCCCCCCTCCTCGTTCCTGCCGCCCTCCCCTCCCTCCTGGGTTCCCCGTCTTCGGCGCCCCACTCGGTTCTTCCTCTCTCCCTCCTCTCTCTCTCTCTCTGCAACCCTCGCCTTCCTCGTCGCGCTCCTCTTCCTTCCGTGCCTCCTCCGCCGATCCTTTCCCTCCTCGTCCCCGTCCCCCTTCCAGTCCAATGCCCTCCCCGCTCATCGCCCTCGTTGCCCCCCCCCCCCCGCAGACCTCATGAGCAGGCGGGAGGGTCTGCCACGCCCCAGAACAGCGTGTCATTGCCTGCGGATTTCGGCGAGGGGGCTGCGCCGCTGTGAGGAGATGCTCCCTGGCTGGCCGAAGGGCCACCGGCGCGCTCGCGCCTCGAGCGGCGAGGTGTGGTCGGCGGACGCTGGCATTCCTCGCTTGTGATGTCTACATGCGGCTCTGCCTCTGCTCGCAGCCCCCTCTTTGAATCTGTGGGAGTGGGCAACGTGGGTGTGCGTCACTTCGACGGCATCCAGCATCATCCCCTCACCCCCCTCCTCCTCCGCTCCCCCGCCCCGCCGTCGTCGTCGCCCGCGCTTCCCCCCCGCATTCCTCGTTGTTGCCCTCGTCGTCCCCGGTCCCCGGACATCTGGCCGCTGCAATTGTTCTGATGCGTGAGACCCGCAGGTCTTGACCACTTCCGTATCGGGCGAGTTCTTCGTCCCGAGTCGTGTTTTGACGGCCCGGAGGCCCGGCGAGGGCCCCCGGAGGCCGACAACCGGCCAAAGACCGGCCGCTCCCATTTTCTGGGAGCGTACGGATCTCTGCGTCCCCCCCCCCCCGCGCTCTCGCTCGCCCCCCCCCCTCCCGGAGGCTCACGCTGCTGCTCCTGCCCCGCCCCCGGCAGCCCGGGCTCGGGGCGGGCCTGGGCCGGCCGCCGCCGCCGCCGTCGCCGTCGGCAGCCGCCGCCGTTCAGACGGGGCCAGGACGAGGATGAATCTGCTCCAGGGAGTTCCGGAGCGCTCTCCGAGCGTTCCAGAACGCTCCGAGAAGTCCGCGGCGGCCGAGGTCAGATCTCAGAAATTCGCGCGTTATCTTCGCCCGAGGTCGTCCTCGTCCTGGCTCCGTCTTGGCCGTCGTCGCTGAACCCTCCGCTGGCGTCGTCGTCCTCGTCGTCCTCTTTTCCTGGCTCGCCGCTGGAAGCCCGAGTCATGCTCCGAAAGCTGGGCACCGCCAGTCAGGGTCCATTTCGATCCGGTCGATCCGACGTCGAGATCGGCTCTTGCCGGCCCGATGCTACAGTCAACCCGCATAGTAGGCTGGGCAGCCTTCCCAAGGAAACCCTTGCATCCTTGCCTCCTCGGTCCATCCTTCGCCACTTTCGTTGGCCGCGCCCCGCTCGAAAAGTTTCGACATTGGCGTCCAGGGCCCTGGCATCCCTATCGCGCATCCTTACTACACGGCTTGTTGACTGTATTCGGTTGCGATGCTCCGTCTATCTGCTGCACGGTGCGACCCGACGCTCTGCGTGGGGCGTTGCTGTGCATCTTGCCGTGGGCGATCTGATTCGATTTCGATTCCAAGCCGGCGCAGCCCGATCCAGTGCAGATTCCGACTCGCGCTGACTGCCCGATTCGAGATTGATCGATTCTGCCCAAGCGCACGCGGTCAAGGCTGAACGCCACCAGTGGCCCAGAGTCGGTCGGCATCCAGCGAGCCGGCGGGCCGCCTTGCTGGAAAAGCCAGGACTGTTCGAGGTTGTACGCCGCAAGTGGCCCAGAGTCGGTTGATTCCGAGCGGGCCGCATTGTCGGTTTAGTCGGGATCGTTCAAGCTCGAATGAGTCACGCGTTGTCCCTCGTTTTGCTCATCATCCCCCTCTTCCTTCTTCTGTTCTCTATCTCCTCCCCCTCCCCCACCTCCCTGCATCCCCGCTCCTCCTGCCCCCTCCCTCCACCCTCCTCCGCCTCCCCTTCTCCCCCCTCCTCACCATCGAGTTTCTCCCCCTCCTCCCCTTTCTTGCGCATGCCCCGCTAAGGTCGTGCCTGCTCCCCACCGCGGTCATCGCCACGTGTACAAAGGCCCCATCTCGGCGGCGGCGCGTTCGCCCCTGCTCATCTGAGTACCGACGGCCCCTGCCCGTGATTTCTGCTTCGTCATTCCTTCTGTTGCTACATCGCCACCGCGTCGTCCTCCTCCCTCTTCGTCCTTCCATTTCTTCTTAGTTCATCCCGTTCCTGGTCTTTCCCCCCATCCCACCTTCCGCCTTCTCCAATTCCTGTCTTTCTTCCTCATCCTCCTCCCCCGCCTCCTCCACCTACCTAATCCTCCTCATCCTCCTCATCCTCATCCTCTTCCCTCCTTCATCCTCCTCCTCCTCCTCAGTCTCCGCTTTCTCCTCCGCCTCATTCTCCCTTCTTCCTCCTCCTCTTCCTCCTCCTCCTGGTCCTCCTCCGCCTCCTCCGCCTCCTCCTCCTCCTGTTCCGCGATCTGTGAACCATGGCTGCTGGGGGGGCTCCCTTCGGGCCAGCGAGTCGTGCGCGACCCGCCCGTGCTGTGCCCGAGGCGGTTGCCACGTCGGGGCTGTCCGCTGCAGGCATCTGCTGTCGACAACCGTACGTCCGAACATTACGTCCTCCTCGTTCTCTTAGTTCAAGGGCGCCCTCGAGGACGCGAAGTTGCTCGCGCTTCGCGGTTCGGCTCCGACTCCTTCTTCCTCATCCTCTTCGTCTCCCTTTGGGGGCGGCGCCAGAGCGCAAAGTTAGGCGTCTCCTCATCCTCTGGGGCGCGAGAGCCGTCCTCCTCATCCTATTCTTCCCCCCTGGGGCGCGAAAGCCGTCCTCCTCGTCCTGTTGGTTCTCCTCCTTCTCCTTGCTCTCGTTTGTCGAGCGCGCTTTCATTTGACGCCCAACAGAGCGAGAGTCGGATTTGCCCAGCAGTCGAGTGGGCGATGCTGAACCACCCCCTCTCTGAGCCGCGGCGCTTGCGGATCCCGCTCGCGCTCACAGGCTGGTCGAGCCTCCTGCTCCGTGCGTCCTCCTCAGACCTCCCTCGCCCAAGCGCCGCGCACACGGAGGAGGAGGTGGAGGAGGAGGAGGAAGGGAGGTGGAGGAGGAGGAGGAGGAGGAAGAGAAAAAGAAAGAGGAGGAGGAGGAGGAGGAGGAGGAGGCGGGGGTCCATCCATCATAACCACTGGCGAGGGGATCGGCAGGCGGTGAACATGGACATATTCGGGGCCCGAGGGGCCGACATCTACCCACATCCACCGCCCGCTGGAGTCCCTGGGTGTTGGTCCCCAGGCGGTAGATCCCGCCCGCGCTGCCGCGCCGCCGGGGTTCCCGCCGCCGCCGTTGTCGTCGTCGTCGTCGTCGTCGTCGTCGTCGTCGTCGTCGTCGTCGTCGTTGTCGTCGTCGTCGTCGTCGTCGTCGTCGTCGTCGTCGTCGTCGTCGTCGTCGTCGTCGTCGCCCGCGGCGTTGCCGCCGCCGCGGGGCCGCCGCCTGTGGCGGCGTCTGATGCCCCCGTCCCTCCCGAGGCGCCCTCGCTGCCCGGCTTCTGTGCCAGCCTGGTGCAGGAGGGCTGCTGCCTCGCTTCGGTACACGCCAGTGGTTGGAAGTAGTTATTTCTGGATTTGAGTCGGGGCTGTCCCTCTGAAGGAGGGATATTCCAAAATATGCAAAAATATTATGTGGACGCTTTTTCTAGCTATTTTGATTATTGTTTGATATTTTTGTTGTTTCATCCAAAATCCCTTTGTAGGAGGACACGCCCGACCAAATTCTTGATGCCAAGATCCCAATCCACTTCAAGAGTCGAGCGGTTTTCCTTCCTCCCTCCTCAGCAGGGGGCGGGCGGAAACCCGATCTGCTTCCAACGCCTTCCTAATTCATGGTTCTACATATTTCTTCTGGCCGACGGGTATGATTTAACAGGTCCCCATGCCCGTCCCGAACACCCCAGTTGGGGATATATCCTGCGAAACTCGAAGGGGGCAGCCTAATTATATCCTATCTAGGGGGGGGAACCGGCCAGTGGGGCCCAGGCCACACCAGTGGGGGTAGGGACCTGTTAAACAATGCTCATCGCTGCGCCGCGCGGCGCGCGCCGGGGGCGTCCCCTTCTGATCAGAGGAGGGGGGATCAGAGGGTCCAGTCCGCGGACGACTTGGCATAGTGTTCAATCCATTGGCGATAACGGGCGTGATGGGGGATCGGGGGTGGACTGAACCCCCACCCTGACACGTCGATTAGTGAATTGTCCGTTTTCGGTTCTCGAGAGGGCGCCGCGGCTGTCATTTTCCAGGCTTGCGCCCGCCAGGTGTGGGCCCGAGGCCGTCTTCATTAAACCACGTTTTGCGAAAGGGGGTTCTGTCCATCCCCGAGGGGAGTGCGGGAGGGGGCTGGTCACGTCACGATTCGCGCCGATCCGTCTGGCATGACTAAGAATGGCTCACTTCAGACGGCTCCAGCGCGAAGCGTGAAGCGACCAGGGGGGAGGGGGGCGGGCTGGTCGCTGGCGTTGATCGGGAATCATACAAACGAGCTCCTTGTGTGCACCGTACCGCGTTGGCCGCTCCCGAGGCGTAGTCGTTCCTTGACCCAAGAATCGTAAGGGACATAGTTTTTCGGCCCCCAGTGCTGGGGAACTATGCACTGTACCGTGGTGGAGCGGAGCCTGAAGGGAGACCAAGCATGGTAGAGTGCACAGGCGCCGTTCTCGCATCTGGGTTCCAGGTTCAGTGTTTTCTGGCACTCCCGAAGGTGATCGGGCGTTTCCCAGCCTCGGGATGCATTTCAGCGGCTGCGCCTCGCCGAGGGCGTTCCCCGGGTGCCTGGATCGTCCCGAACGGCCGCGGGAGAGCCGAGCTGCGGCCCAGAAACCAGGGCGCAACGACAGGGGGCGAGATGACACAACGGTAGTTGGCCTTCGGAGGCCCAGTCGTCGCCACGGCTGGCCGCAGCTCGGAGAATTTCGACGTTTGGACCCTAGCAGGGGTCCAGGGGTTGATTGTGAGCTGGCATTGCCTCTCCTCGCCCTGCTCCGATGTGCTTCCCCTCCGTTTCCTCTTCCTTGTCTCCTCCCCCTCTCGGCTGTCCCCCGCGCCCTCCATCCTCGGTCTTCATGGGTCCGAGGATGAAGAGTAGCCAGCCTCGAACTGATCCCTATCCCTAAGATGGGCGAGCAAAAAGCAAGGACAACCTTAGGGATGCGCCCTCAGAAACTGAGGGAATCCTCGAGGTCGGCATCGAGGTGAGGTGATGCCAAACACAGGGATAGGGACCTGCTTCAAACAGGTAACAGAGGGGCTACGCGAAGCAGAGGTTTTCAGAGGTCCTCGTGGATTTTCTGGATCGGCGCTGGGCCTCCCTGGCAGCGCCTCAGGCGCCGCCCCTGGCGCGCTCCACGCGCCAGGGAGGGGTCCGGCGCCGATCCAGAAAGTCCGCGCGGACTTCCGAAAGTTACTGTGGATGCTGATGTTCTGTTTCTCAAACACTTAGATCGAAATATATTCAGTTTCACTACGCGGCGAACACGCCGATTGATGATGTGAGATGGGTCGAGCTCTATCCGCATATCCGATACAAGCTGGTCGAAGAATTTGACTATTCCACCCAAGGGGATCCACTCTCCATCCATGTGGCGATTGGCAATGCCAACGCTTCGGCCAAGCGGCTGACATAACTCCACAGGTGCGGCCAATGCTTCGCAAGTCTTCCGTCCTGCATCCGAGTCGCCGTTGGAGCTGCTTATGCGCAGGGCTTTAGCATGTGGGGGAATCTCCAGGGATGGTTTGATCAGGGCTGGACCTAAACGGTGTTTCGGCGATTTCGTGGGTCGTTTTCGGTTCGATTTCGTTCTGCGGTAAAGGCGGATTGAAGACAAAACGAAGAACACAAATAACAAAACGAAAACAACAAACACCGTTTAGGTTCAGCCCTGGTTTGATCTTTGCAAGCGGACGGCGCTCCACCGCTTCCGGCAGGAATCTTGCAAGGGGGGGTGCCTTTGATTGCCAGGGAGGCGCTGGTGGCGCGGTTTGGGCCACTGTTCCGTCTCCCTCGCTTCCCCCCCCCCCCGGTTTGATGGGCCTGTTGTCCATCACCACCACCACCAGAAGCTGGAGGGGGGAAGGGGGTGGAGGGCGAGGAGGAGGAAGACGAAGAGGAGGAGGAGGAGGAGGAGGAGGAGGAGGAGGAGGAGGAGGAGGAGGACCCCCTCCCCCTCCAACTTATGGTGGTGGTGGTGGAAAACAGGCCCATCACGTTTCCCCCCTCCACCCGCCCACCCTCATTCCCAGACCCACTCGAGTCATGAAAAATCACGATGGGCGGTTTTCCAATTTTTTGCCTCTGGGTGCCTCTCGCCGGGGCCCCGGGATCGTCGTCAAGCGAGACACCAGTCCCAGGGAGCTGGTCGAGATCTCGGGGGGTCGACGTCATGAACATGTCATGGCGTCGGGGGTGCGGATTGAAGGTTTATTGCAATTCTCCTCACATGCCCCCTTGGCCCCATCCCTCGTTTGCTCCTCTTCCCTTTGCGGGAAGGCAGGGAGGGGAGGGCCCGATGTACCTGCAGGGGAGCGTCCGGGCATCCTCCCCACCCTTCTTCTCCCCGTCCGCCTCCTCCACGACTGAAGGTGCGGTCGCAAATCATGGGATCCTCGCTAGTCCGTCTGCAAAGCGCGTCAGCGTGCGACAGCGACTGGTAGTCGATGGGGATGCGCCGACTTAGCGTCGACTTAGTGTTTAGCGACGACGCGCGTCGATTCGCAAGAGCCAGCAAGACGACATGG